TCCATTTGCATAATGCGCGAGAGAAATGAGGTCCCTCTCTCAGAGCGCAGCAACGCGTTCTGCCGCACGCTTCCCTCCCAGCAGCACACAGCAGCAGGGTGGGCTCCATCTCTGACCCCTGCTTGGACAACAGCCCCGTTGGCATCCAGGGGAACGTTCCGTGAGAGGAAAACCTTTGTCTTCCTTACACGCATTGGTTTTACGCCAGCTAGCTGTGCTGCTGTCGGTGTCCGCACGCATCCAGGCCCTCGGCCGGCACTGAGCCGCCTGCAGGCTGTGGCGCTGCCCACCTCACGGCTGGCTGAGCGGAGTGGAACTGCTGTGATTTGCACTGGTGCAAAAGGCCCAGGAATGAGGGCCGAGGAAAGCAGGATTGGGCCCAGACTGACCTTTATATAAAGTAAAACGCAAAAAGGCTGTGCGTTTAGCTTAAAATATAAATTACCATAGTTCACAGTTGGAAGGTAATTAGTGCTACACCAGTAACTTCCTTTTTTTAATATCAATTTCATACAACCTTAAAACAAACAAACAAACAAACAAACAAACAAAAAACCCTAAGAAATCTCTTCCTATTATTTGACTAGCAAAATAGAAGGCTTTCTGTAGCCTAGTGACAGACAAGCTTAATGACACTTTACCCTACTATGGGATGACTGTTTTAAAGGCTAAATCTTGCCCAAGATTTATTACAAAAAGGCTGAGGAAGATATTCTAGCATAGCTCTTATTTCATCCCAAAAACACAGTGTGAGAGACAGCCAGCTGGGTAAGAGCTCATCAACATCAATATGGAGAGGAGATGATCTCTGTGCTAGTAGGATCTATACAGCTTTCAGCAGCACGTGGGGCCTGCTCCAAAGCCTCGTCAAATCAACAGAAAAGCTCCTATTGACTTTGCGAACACTTAGCAGCAGAGACAACTGTAGTTTGTGCCTGCACAAAGGGGGCCAGACTACTGTCCAAAGCACATTTCCAGAGTACAGCCCTCAGCTCACCTTGGGGAATGGTGCCCTTTTTTGCACAGAATTCTCTGGCCAACAGCTCCGCTTCATACTTCTCTGACATGATTTAGCCTTATGAATTCTCCTTCACGGAATCGAAAGATAAATTATACTTACAAATAAAGTATTCTAGCTATTTTATGTTCTGCTGCAGTGGAAAAATTAGACAGCCACCTTGATGAAGTCTCTGTTGCCTGAAAATTCAGTCTCCTTTCTAAAAATACTTCTTGCTGATGGCAAAGTTCAACACCTCAGAGAAATTCAGAGTAAGTTTCCAAGTTGTGTACCGTATTTTCAGATACACTATACCTTTGTTGTTAGTAAGGCTCCATTGAAGTTTTACGTAACAGTCATGAGCCATGAGTTTAAACACCTTAAAAGAGTTGACCAGCAACTTAATGCACTTCTTTGTTCTATAAGAAATGTAAAGATACATCATGTCTCTCCAATACACTATAAAATGTTCAGGATGTAATATTACATCCTCCTCCTCTCCCTTTAATGTTTGTATTTAAAAGTATTCATGCTTCACCAGTGAATTATTAATTATATATTTCTCTGTATGTGCCCTTACTGTGTAGAAAATCTACTTATTTATTAATATCTAGGCAAAGCAAAACATGTACAAGCATAGGAGATAAATGCTTCTGAGCCACAGGTTTCTTCAAGCTAACTGTCCATCTTGCAGATGCAAAGAATTATTAGTGTAGAGCTCGCAGTTCACCTATATCTAGCATTCTATTAGCAGAAACAGGAATGTTTTAGAGCACAGGGTCCACCGGTTTCTTGTGGGGTCATAATGTTAGAGAGGTATGGTTTTTTTCTGGCCAGTCCAAGTGATGCCTGGAAATTAGAAGGAGCTGGGTTCAGCCTAGGAGAAAATAAACTCCCAGAAAAACACAGGACAGAAGTTCTGTGCCAAGCTGTTAGCTAAGAAAGACGCTATCCAGAAGTTTGCAGAGCCTAAGTACCCACTTCAGATCTGAGCTTCAGCTGATGTACGTGGGTACAGACTCAAGAGATTCTAGAATGTGCTGGGCTATGAAACTCAATACTTCCTGTGTCTGTGCGTGAATCCTCGGAGGACCCTCGCTCCAGCTGGAGAAAGGGTTCCCAGTGATTAAAGCAACAGTCTGCGTTCTTAATTTTAATTTGATTTCTTACTGAGCCTTCACTCTAAGGTCTACTCGGAACAGTCACCCAATGCTTCTGTGCTTCTATGAGGTGAGGTAACAGTGCTGTGTTTCTCAGCATTCTTCGAATCGCAGTAGTTGCTTGGGAAACGTGTGAGTGATCTTCCTACAAGAACCACAGAGGTGCTATGATCAGTGTTACCACTATGCTTGAAAGGCATCTTTCTACTATTTATCTATCTCTGGGATATCAATTGAGAACAAAGAACAGATATTTCTTTCAAAAGATAACTAAGTGCTTTCTAAGCAGAAGTATTTAAAGTCAGAACTATTTTGACTTCTACAGTTGGGAAAGAACCTCAGTCTAGAGGCAATGGGATCAAGGAGGGATGCCCTGCAGGATGTCACATAAGCACCACTTCCATATAGCAAACTTAAAATCAAGGTGCAGTAGATTCTGGCTGGCATTTGCACTCCCAGAGTCAAATTCTGCCTTAGCACACACAGGAAGGCAAAATTAGAGAACAGTCAACCTTCTTCTCAGTTCTTTATTAGACACATGACTACTTCTGGAAAAGCCCAGCAGAAGGTGTGGATAAAAGAGATTTTACATCCTTATCTGTCCAGCAGTGTGTACCTGTTCTTCTGCTGAAGGTTTTGCTACTTCGTGCCCTCACTGTTCTGTTTGTCCTGAAAAGCCAAAGCAAAGCAAGGTGAGTTTCATTTTAGGAATATCATCGTGTTTTGTATCATCACATTTTACAAAAACAGCCTCAGCATACTGTTGTTTTTGTACTTCAGTAAGCAGTTACAGAGCAGCTTTGCTCAGAGGCTGAAAAGGTCAGGGGAGCCTGGGCTAGATGCTTTATTCTAGAAAATTGTCTCTCCCTGACAAACTGCCTTCTGCTAACAAACATAATCTAATGTAACAAGCTGTTGCTGCCTTCAGCAATGGTAGAACATCACTGTTTGGTTCTATGGTGTGTGAGTCAGGTTTTCCCCATGCAATTTCATGTGGCATACAACATACAATGCATGTCCTTCTAGCTGCAAATTGGCACTGAGACTTTTGCTCCCCCATCTTCTCACCCACAGGAATTTTCAGTATGGGTCTTGTTTGGAGCCTTTGGAAGTGAATGGAAATGTTTCCATCCTCACTGAGGGTTGGATCACATTATGAATATCATTGGTGCAAAAAGGTAACTTTCCTCTCCCCCCAAGAAAGAGAAATTACAAATGTAAATGCCTTATAGAAAGTTTCTGCGCTTATATCACTGCTTAAGCTCTTTTTGGCTTCTGCATACTGACCAAGCATGAAATAGTGAATAACATTTATTTTTGAATTTATGGATTGAGTTCACAGGGATTTTAATAGCACTGGGGTTATGGAAGTGCTATTTTAATAAGGACCACAGATCATGGGCCCAAATCCTTACCTTCACCTCAAGGACTTGTAAACTCAACTATTTAACTCAAATCTCTTTATTGGAGGCCTTAGAATGTATCCACCTGGAGGCTGAAAAATTGAAGGGTAGAAGGCTGCGCAAACATGGAGTGAGGGAATTTAACCAGCAGGAATGTGGCCCATAAAATTAAACTTCAAGAACTGTATAAGAAAAATTAAAGCTTGTGCAACAGCTGGGGTTTCTCTTCACATTAGTTCATTTCTCAGTGACTCAGATGTTATGGTTCTCATTAATACAGATTTCTTTGTTGAGATCATCTTCTGGAGTACTCTAAGTCCTACTCTGGTTGCAAATGACAAAGTTGTGATCTGCCTTTAGACAAATACAGCATGCTAACACGCTTTTGTCAGGTAACACCGTTTTGCACTCTTCTAAGGATGCCAGTGTTTATTGGTGACACAAACAAAACACTGCAACTTTAAACTGCACCCCCAAATTTCCCTAATGGCAATTGCCAGAATATCCCAATTTCAGACATAGCGATCAGATACCCCTGAATATACACTGAAAAGTCAGGAACAAAAGTAGGTGCATTTTTTTCCAGTGGATGTTTGAGAGTCTCTGCATAAAGAAATGCACACTTGTGTGTGGGTAGAGGACCAAGCTTCTCTTCACTCCTATTCAGACCCTGTGTATATACATTCTGGAGAGACTAGACTCATTCTGTCTGCTTGTGACCTCAAAGGTTGACTCCTGTTTAAGCCTTTACAATAACCTGCTACTCATGTCATTTGAAATCTGAGCTTCTGAAAAAACCCTCAAACGCTGTGATAATTTTGTCAGGCTCTGGCAACATTCAGAGATTGTGCATGCAGTGTTAATGATGACTGGATTTTTTAGATACTGAAAGAATGCTCGGTTCTCTATAGTGGCTAGACACTGTGGGATAACTGTTAACTAAATCAGTTAGCACTTCAGTGACATGCAACCTTAATCCATTCAAAAGGGCTGAGAAGAAGAAAAATGCATTGGAGACGCTGGAGAACAGGTTCATAGAGGCTTAGGACACAGTCCTAACGTGAGGACACCAAGGATGGTACAATTTCTGCTACATTGCAGTCAGAACCACTCATGCTTAAAATTTTGCATGCTTAGAGATATCTGGAAATTAAAACAACTGCAAAGACTGATCACTGGATTTGCAGCCACAAAGCGTCCTGTTACGTGCGACCCTCCTTGCAGAACTGCTGGTACAAGTAATACTGCTTGCATCATGGCAGGTACTGCTGTAAGACTGGGAATGTGGCGATGGAGTCAAACGATTAGGATTCTTCTGAGTGACACAAGTTGTCATTTCAGGAGCTGGACTTCCAAAAGTAGTTTCGAAAGTATGGCCCTATATGCATAATGCTCACTACCTCCTTGTGGAGCAATGGGAAGCAAAGCAGAAGTCTGGAGTTACAGTGTGCTGCTGAATACTTCTGAGACAGCAGAACCCACAGCATCATCTGAACCCATTTTCTGTTGCATAGCACTGTGCACATCCTCATTTTCTACAGACTGCATGCTCACTGCCCAGGATTTGCCCTCTTCACTCAGAAATGTTGTTTTATAAGGTTCCACGTGTATCCTATGGACATTTTGCCTCGCTTCCTCATACTTGCCTTTTCCATCTTCTGGAAGGCTGGATGCATGAGGTAAGAAAGTGCTCCGTGACTCGCCGATGGGAAGCTGTAACTGCTCACTGGAGGTAGGTTCTTGAGATAAATCTGAAGATCTCATGAGATGCTGAGTATACACACCTTCAGACAGAGAGGCAGACTGTGTCTCGCTGTGCACACGCAGCCAACGATGATGCTTGCTGAAGTAGTTGTAATGCTGATGTTTCCCTAGTCTCTTTTTCCCTAAAAAGCTCAATGGCTGCCTGGAGCTAGAGGACTTGTCTATGCTTTTTGATGTGATCCCTGACATCGTTAGATTGCTCATATCCTCTGTGCAATATTCAGCATTAGAATCAAAGGCACTACACTCTGTCAGGCCTTCTTTCAGTGTTAGGCAAGGCTTCACGTCGTGGACTTGGAGAACATCAGGGGCACTACCGCCCAGGCCACTGCCTGCCTGCTGGGATATGTCGTGTGGGGAGGAGTAAATCAAGTCTAATTCTCTGGGGCTTAATGCATCACTGGAATCGTAGTCACTATCAGTGGGAAGGAATACTTCTGAACAGCCTTCTTCATCTGAGCAGGGCTGGGAATCTGCAAAGAGAACTGATTAATAGCAAGAAGACGAGCACAACATAGAAACTGCTTAACAGTTATTTCCTTTTTTCTTTTTTCTTTTTGTCTTAATTAGAATAATATCTGCAATTCTCAAAATATACGTTTGTTTCCTCTGTGGAATTTTCCATGGGCCTAGGTGACAGCAAAGACAGTGGTCAGAGAAGATTTACAGATGTGTTAAAGAGGTGATGGTAGAATTAGGAAAAGGATTCATTATTCATTATTCATTATTCAGTTAAATACAGGGAATAATTTGAATTGGAATTGGGATTAAGTTCTGAAAGTACCTGTTTTCTTTTACTTTGCTTTCACCAGATTTCATAGAGATGAAGATTTGGGAGAAAATCTAATCCACGTTCTGTTTTTTATTAAAGATGTTAGCTGAGTTACTACAGACAGATACCCCTGTAACTGTGAGCAGGGTGCAACTGTGTGTGAGGTGAGGCATGGAAGTAGATGAACAAAACAACCCTTTTCCTTATTGGCTGCATTACTGTGTTCAAATCCAAAACAGATATACTTAATATACTTAATTCAGATTCAAATTTGTTGACCAAAATGCACAGTGGCACTGAAATCACTGCTGTCTTTTGGTGTTTGAAGGATCTGTAACAATAGAATGGATCGATGCTCCATGACTGTGCACCGTTTATATTAGAAACAAGGAAAAAAAGTGGAGATTTTATACCGTGCTGGCTATTCACTTTAACCTAGTGTAAATCACAGTATAGTGCAATAACAATGAAGCAAGCCCATGCAGGGCAAGGTAATGCTCGGGGTTACATGGTGTCACAGCTAAGGATTGTTCTGCATGCATGCTCTGTAGAGCAGGGACATTTTAGCGCAGGGAGAAGAGCTGAGAAAGAACCACTGTACGTAGTAATTCTGGAGGACATGAAGAAGTCAGTGTTTTGACTTGTCCCTTCGAACCTGTTCACTAAATGATCAGGAGTGGTGAGGTGACAAAGTTGGCTGCTGATGAACAAGTATTCTGAGTAATTCAAAGTAAAAACAATATTGTAAAGATTATTGTAAAGAAGGATCTTGAGATACCGAGTGGTAAAGGATTGGGAAAATGATTGTTGAAGTATCTTGGCAGGAATGGGAAACATTTAGTCCTTTTATAAAATGAAATTCAAGAACTGTTTTAATTAAAAGTGAATTGAAAGATTTTGCATGATGAACAAACAGAAGTTCTCTTACCGCTTACAGCTTTTCTCCTCTGACTTCTAGCCTCAGGTGAGGAAGGAGGTGAGGGAAGACAATCTAGATGTGAAGACGTTGAACTGACTTTCTTTTGAGAGTGTTCTTCTGAAAGATTCACAAGTTTCTTTATTGGTAGCCCAGCTGCAGGCTGCTTGTACCTTGCGTACTGCAGTGCTTCTGTGATCCATCTCATTTCCCTCCAGATCTCATCAACTTGCTTTTGAGGAAAAAATTAGTGAAAAACTACAGTTATGTCTGCATAGTAATTCTACCTCAGCGTGTACTTGTGAGTACCTAACCAGGTGAGCAGTCACTGTCATCGGAGAGAAGCAGGTTTTAGTCTGAACTGCCTTTGGTTAAGCGCTTTTTGTTTCCCACTACTGCAGAGTCTGCTTAAGGCCTAGATTTTAAATAAGGTATCTGAATGGAGAATCTGTAGGTAGGAGGGATAAATCTAGGCCTAAGTTCTGACATGGAAATAAATGAAAACTGTCTTTTGATGGAGGATGAAGCTTAATCAGTTTTGTAGTGTGCTTGAAAGCTGGTTTCATTCTGCGTTGGGATGAAATCAGGATGTCTCAAGGATTCCTGTGAACCCACAATTCCACTGAGAAGCAAAATGCTCAGATCAAACCCAGTTTTCAAGCAGTAGAAGAATATGTGTGCATGTGTCTGCACATGGGGCATCACAGCAAATCTGTGAGACAAACTGCAGGTTTTCTCCCTTGCTATTCTGGTCTGTATGCATTTTAACAGTATAAATCCACACAGGACAGTTCTAATTCATGCCTGTTGATGGCAATAAGAGACAAGTACGAAAATCAATTGCAGAATAAGGCTTCAAGCATTTAAGCATAGAAAAGATACAATTTAATTTGGGTCTTGCGAGTCTTTCGATAAAAGAACACCGTCAGTGTCTTGCCAGTGAGCTAATTCCAATAGTAACCACAGATGGTTCAGGTGTTTGTTCACAATCCAACTTCATTTCAAGACTTAATTGTAGCTCCACAAAAGGAATACAATTGCTTGACCAGTTAGTGAACTTCTCATCTGGTTGATTGTGGAGATCTTATATTTTCTTTCTGCCATCCTCCTTCAGCCCTGAACAAAAATCACACTGCTTCCAGTTTGTGGAAATGCAAATCCTCTGAATTTTCTCTGTGATGCCATTCTACAGCATCTCACAGGACAGCGAATCAGTCCTTTTAATGAACTGTAGTTCTTAAATTATTTAGGAATGCTTGAAGCACTGTGCTGTATAAATTACAGTGACTAGATATTTTGTCTTGCTGTCTAACATTCTGGGAAAGATGCTGAGTACCTTATCTGCTGTTGTGTTGTTGTTGTTGAAAAATATTTTTACCTTTTAGCTGCCCCGACTCCTTTTCAGAACTGCATTCACGTAGACTCCCTTGCTCTTTACAATGTTTGGTTTGTGTAGTAACTTCAACACTGTCTTAGCTCTAGGATCACACAACTGCTCTCGTGGTTTTGTGGTCACCGCTGAAGATTGTGGTATGTGGTGGGCTGAGATATTTTTGCCAATAGGTGGAATACAGCTGGTGTTCATTTAAGAGGAAACCTGACAAGGCTGATACACTGTCACAATAACTCAGCACAAAACGCGGAAGTTTAAAATATTCTCCTGTATTTTCCCAGCATGATTCTGTGATTTACACGCGACTTAAAGACTCTGGAGAGAAGGAACATAGAACTGTCTATAAAGTGTGTATGTATTAATATACGTATATTCATTTTTGATGTGAAAGGTAAAAGTTTCCCAGATGCTCCAGCACAGTGGAAAACCAGATTTTCTGAGTGTGAGAATGGGGAGATGAGGAGGAAGGAGATAGTGGAGATGTGAAAGCACAATGCTATGCTCCTCTCTGCTCCTCTGCAGGTTTCTAACAGCTCCAAAGTAGACTGTGCAAAGGGGATCTGAATTCAGAGCAAGGAAAAACAGAAATATTATCATCTTATTCATAATTATGAAGGCCAAATATGTTATTAATGAGATAAGTGATTGCATCGGCCCCTGCTCCAACAGAAGGTGTCTATAATATAAAAACATGGAGCTGTAAACCGATCTGTACTTCACTAGTAGAAAAACAGATCAACCAGGTGCACAGATGTCCTCTGGACAGGGCAAGGGTTTTACCTATGAGTAATCAATCACCAAAATGGTTTGCAAAAGTGCAGAGAAAAACTATTACTGAATAGAATGCCCATGCATGGCAATAGCTTACCTCACATTCGATGGCAGCGAGTTTTACAAGCAGGCTGACACATTTCTGTGTAACAGCCTAGCATGACCGTCATTTGATTTTACCCATAAAAATCCTTGTATAAAAGCAACAACTAAGGAAATCATGTTCTGGGCTAGAATTTCATAAAAGCAGAATTGCGCTTTTGATACAACTACTCTTTTTATGACGTCTGTGAATAATTCTCCATTTAGATTTCAAATTACAGCCCGATGCAGTTTTTAAGAAAGCCACCTTAAAATCTCCTTGGAATAGTCAGAAACAGACGATTACCTGTATGCAGTCCATAACTTGCTGGTGTCTTTGTTTGGCTGCAGCGACTTCACTGTCTGAAATTGCTTCCCTCAGGGACTGCTGGGTTTTCAGAGAGTCCAGCTCTATGACAGCAGAAAGGCGGCAATACAGGCTTATAAATTTTTCCTTGTAACAGCAAAAATGAACTGTGAAAAGACCAAGTGCAAAGGAAACACTGTTATACTCTGGTTATGAAATATGAAATCCTTAGCTCTCAGAACACAAATTTTATTAAATGTAATTATTAACTCTCTGGATGGGTTACTTAAAGCTGGAAATAAATAATACAGGCTCTAGTTCTCCTCTCATTTACACTGGATTTACTCTGTTACTTCATCAATTTCAAAAGAGTCATTTCTAATTTATATCTATGTGAAGGGATAATCAGGCCCTCAGTATGCAACTCCTGAGGCTGTTTTGCCCTCGATAGCTTTAATCAGAAGACTCTTTTCTGAGGCTCATCATTTCTTTTATCAAGCAAGCAGTGACATGACTGGAAAACTGAACCCTCTTTTTTCTTTTTAATTGGGTGTTTCAGAAAAAAGTACCATTTTGGAGGATGATAACTTTCTTTCGGCCTAGGCTAACATAAATCAGGAACTCAGATGTAAATGACAGCATTAAAAGCATTTCAATGACATCACAGTTCAGGTGAAACAATTAAAACATTGTTAGTTGTTATCATGTGCTCCCCTCTGAACTGTTGCGCAGCAGGGCAGTGCAGACAGCTCAAACTGACATCTCTGTGCAGTCAGATGCAGTAGCACAGAGCTGGGTGAGCTGCCACTGAAAGAGCCAAGAGATGGAACAGCTACATGGAGCTTCACAGACATTAATTTGCCTGGCCTCTTAATGCCATGTTCTTCCAGAACCTCGTGTGCTCAGGCAGAACTTGCCAGTGATCTCTGCAAGCTGCAGTACAGACATATGAAAGTTGCTGAGGGAGAGCAAGTTTTCAACATAGTTCGCCATCATTGCAAGCATACAGTGTGATCTTGTTATGCAGTGAATGGCAGCTGGCTTAATACTGCTGCATTTCGGGAGGGGGCATGATGTTTTGTAGGGTGTTTCGAGTGCAAAGTGCATAATTTCTTCTTATCATAAATAGAAAAACATAAACTGTCATAGATCTATTTATCCCTTACAGCCAGCATGATGAGGAAAAGTAATAATTTCTCAAAATGAGAAATCTGATCCCAGAAACATCATGCACATAACAATGAACACAGAACCTGAAACAGAAATCCCACCAAAAAAGGTGAGTGAAAAAGAATTCTGCCTGCTGGTTTCCCAGTGATGCCTAGATACTGCAGGGATCTAGTCTGAATAGTGTGTGGTCTCACAGTATATATGCCATATGTGATGGACTCTTGAGTGAATTACAGCCGCGGTTTCAGCTTCAGTGCTGAAGTTTCTGGCCTTTGTGGTTTTAAGTCAGACCTTTTAATGTTACTTTAACAAATGTTACTTCAACGTAGTCTTTTGTGGTTATGCAATTATATAGTTGGTAGCCACCAGCTAATGGGGAATGGAAGCTTCTAATATTTGAGATGTGAATCACAGTCACTTCACAGAACATCAGGGATACATATGTAACAAGTCATGTAGAAAATGTCATCTGCCCATGCCTAGATGATTGCTTACTTTAATTAAAAAAAAAAAAAAAAGTAAAATTCAGCTTTCCATTCTGACATGAGCTTCTTCCCCACTGCAGCAACATTGCTCAGCTGAGGTTTGCACACAGACTGCTATTTAAGAGATGACTCTTTGCATGTTTATCTGCACCACATCATTCCACTCTGTCCATCGATTTCTCAGCTCAACGCAAACTGCATTCCAGAAGCAAGCATAGCTCTCACCCATGGTCTGTGTACCACACGATGAGAGTTAAACAGTTTGCAAGACCTGTAGTACAGAGACGAATTTCAGCAGAGGTGAATATACTTCATGCATTAATTTGCACAGTGAATGCAGTAGTCACCGTTCATAGGGAGAAATAATATGCTGAATACACAGAGTCTAACTGTCGACCTCAGGCTGCATGTCAAGAAGACTGTAAATCTGGCTTTAGGGCACTACTGTCACATCAAATGCCACAGCCATGTGACCCAAAGCTCTGAACTATCACTTCTAGTTCAATTACGTTAGTTCTCTGTTGAAGGGGTAACTCTGCCTTGGCAGAATAGAGAGCAGCTCACGTATTGTCTGTTTGTAGCGCTCCATAATTTTATGGCAGCTCCGCTGTCATCTGTCCTCCCACAGCCAGCAAAAAACCCACGGTTGTCACGGGCACCAATCTCTGCGCTCTGGCAGATGTGACATAAACACAATCGTATGCCCCTGCCTGATTCAAGTAAGATTTGTGCTGCTGGATGATGGGAAGTCACCAATCTATTGTGCCTGCAGACCCCCAACCTCAGCTAAAAGACCTTCCATTAAATCCAGTTACCGTTCTCCTCCACCAGTGACTGCCAACACCCAGTGATGGCGTACAGGACACAAGATGGTGATAGTGGTGGTGTCTCACCAACACTTGAGAGACACGCAGCACCGAGGACCCGCTGTCATATTACAAAGTGGCTCCCTGTGTACTGCCTCCATCAGTTGTGGCTCTTATCTTTCTCTCTCTAAGGCAGAGGCAAGAAATAATAACAAGCAATTTTACAGGCCAGAAGGAAACAGAAGAGCCTAATGTGTAAGGCTCAGCAGTCCCCTTACTCATCATATTCCTTCTACGAAGGACTCTAGCATATCTCACAATAGCAGACTTTTCCTGCTGCAGCAGTAGGACTGAGCGTCCCACATTCTTTCAAGAATCAGAAAGAAAAGGATGACTGTGATCTGAGAAACTCCACTTAGACCCTTAACAAAGGTATCTATATGTAAAGGCAGGAGCTGCAAAAATCATCCTCTTCAAAACTGGTTATTCCTGTGGCAATTTAGAGGTATGCTCTTTATTGCGTCTGCTTTGACACTCCAGCATTGCCATGCCATTTTTCTTTTTTAATTCTGATTTTTAAAGAGCATCAACTTCCAAACAAGTTTGAAGATACATTCTGGATACTGTGGGCTTTGCTCTATGCTTTGCATTTCAATAACGATTGCTACAGTATATGCTTTAACCGCTCTGCTCCCTCTGTAACTTGTACACAGTTATAGGTAGTGTTGTTGCCAAAGCCATCATGTGATTTATTGACTCTCCACTGGGACAAGGGGGAAAACAGATACAACTTTGTGATTTTATTATAAGGAGACTGGGTTAATATTTCTAGGTGAAGCAAGCTACTATACCGAGTTCAAACATCTGAAGAGGGAGGTTAAGAAATCCTGAGTGTGGGGTGTAAGGATTATTCTGTCCTGGGGCAGTGCAGACGTCGTCTGAGGCGGGGAGCAGGAGAAGAAAGGAGACATTGTGACCCAGTTCCAACACCTCCTGTGTATACAGACGGAAGTGCTTAGCCTGTAGAGGGACACGCGCGGGGGAAGAAATAGGAGAGAATTACAACATGGCACTTATATAAACAACACCCCAAATGATATAAAACATTAAAGAAAATTTGCACAACATCAAGCTTGGAATTTTTATAAAACATAAATATTTGGGGGGGGGGGGCTCTAAATGTGGGTTCATGTCACTACATAAAATAAAGATTTAAAGCTGCAATGTTCCACGCTAAAACAACACACACAGGCACAGCCCCCCTGAAAACAACATTTATGTTTCTTATTAGGCAGAAAATGATCACATGCCATGTGCTTTTCAAGATTATGATTGCATAATTATGTGAAAACATGAAAATGGATTCAATTAAAAACCTTTAAGATTCAATTTAGGGTTGGTTAAGAGAAATATGCAGCTCTCCCTCAACACAGCACTGAAAAGGTTTAACAAGTGCTGCAGCAGGAGCGAATGGCACACGCAGCGCTTGCCTGAGGCTGCTGCACAGCTGCACTTCTCTCAGGGAGTGCAACAGCATCACTGTCCACGATTCTGCCTACCACAAAGACAACAAAACTGCACAACTGCACCTGTTGAACAAAAAACCCAATTTGGTAACACCGAAGTTCCATCCGGAGTCATCAAAACTTTTATAACTGCGCTTAACTGCAAGGGCAGGTTTACGTCTATCCCTTGTGCACAGCAGATGAGCTTAAACGCTTTGCTGGGCTGCAGCCTATAGAACAAATTGCACATTGCTTTCAATATTTTATTCCCTAGCTCAAAAAAACCCCCAACAAAGGTACAAAAGCTACAACCTCCAAGAAAATACACTGGTGCAGAGACCTGTACAAAGCCCTACCGGATTAGTGGCTGACCACAAGGCAGCACACCACCTGTCTTCATTTTGGATTTACTTGAGCCTTACGTAGCTCTTCCTAGGCTAGAATGTGCAGCACTGATGGATTCCTCTTTAAAATAAAGCCAAAGCCTTTCAAAAACAAGAATTGTTGAGCAAGATTAATTCATTTTAAGGCTACAACTTTTTAGCTGCACAAACAGATTTTGAAGTGAATATAAAGATGATTTACTTCTACCGTAAGCCCTCTTTACCCTTGTAGACCAAAATAAAGTGGAATTTGTGTAAACAAGAAACAAACTCCTTTCACATCATAGATTATCCCCTCTGCCTTCTTTATTTATTCAAATATGCATCTGTTCGTAAACGTAAAGCCAGAAGCCAGATACCTCTCCTCACCCACAGCAATCTAGAGGTCTGAGCCTATGTGTTTTAGGAGTCTTTATTTGTGTGAAAGAACTGCGCAGTGCTGAGCCTTCAGTAGCCTTTTGTACACCCTCAGTGTTACCTCCAAAACAGCCATCATTTGCCCCTCTTCCCTGCTAAAATAACTGTCTTCCTTTGCCAGCTGGGTAAAGGTGCTCACAGCTACTTGAGTTTCATGCAGAAGTGCTTATTTGCACCTGCCCAAAGTTGTATGCTAACAGATACAGAAATAGGAGCCTTCGAATATTAGTCTCTAAAACCTTCTGCGTTCAAATATCCAGGAAAATAACTAACAACTTGAAGGTGTCTCCCCCCTCAGCTAGAATAATTGAATAGAAAGGTTCTTTGCTTCTCTTTTCTTAGAACATTTACATTTAATTCCTACTCTGAAGTTACATTTTAGCTTTAGCTGTGTTCTTAAGAATTAGTTTTAAAAAGGGTGATAAATACCACAAAGGAAAATACCTGATGCAGAGGTAGATTGATCTGTTTAAGGAGAGCTTTCACTGCCATCTGGAGCTCATACAAGAACAATTGAGTAGGGCAGTCTGAAGTATGATCCATACTTTCCACAGATTCTGAGCCAGAAAGTGTTTGGATCCATTCCCACTCATCTCTGTATGTTGAGTTGAGTTAAAATTAGAAATATAACAAAAGTTCAGTGCACAAGAAGGAATTCAGTGTATGTGCATTCAGGATCTGTTGATAGTTTAATCCTCATATAGCAAAACATTCTAAAATTGTGCAATTCTGATTGTTTGTGGTTGAAAATCTAGCATAGAAAAACTTAATTTTTCTAGCACGTGTACAGCAGGCTGAACGTTCCTTGCGAACGTCTTAAAGTCCGACAGCCTTTGAAATATGTGGCTAAGGCTCCTCACTCCAGGTTTGCTTTTTCACATTTATTTATTTTCCATATATTAATGTGCCCTGGCAGCCCAGACAGCCAACCATGTCCTGGGCTGCATCAAAAGCAGCGTGGCCAGCAGGGTGAGGGAGGTGATCCTGTCCCTCTGCTCTGCGCTGCTGAGGCCTCACCTGGAGCGCTGTGTTCACAGGTGGAGTCCTCAGCACAGGAAGGACGTGGACCTGCTGAAGTGTGTCCAGAGGAGGGCCACAAAAATGATCCAAGGGGTGAAACACTTCTATGAGGACAGTCTGAGAGAGCTGGGGCTGTGCAGCCTGGAGAAGAGAAGGCTGCGAGGTAACCTGAGAGCAGCCTGTCAGTATCTAAAGCTACAGAACTAGAGAGCTACAGAAAGAAGGGGACAGACTCTTTAGTAGGGACTGTGGAACAAGGAGAAATGGCTTCAAGCTTTAAAAGTATAGATTTGGGTAGGATATAAGGAAAAAATCTTTTATAGCGAGGGTAGTGAGGCTCTGGAACAGTTTGCCCCAAGATGTGGTTGATGCCTCACCCCTGGAGACTTTCAAGGCCAGGCTGGATCAGGCTCTGGGTAACCTGATCTAGTTGTGCATGTCTCTGTTCTTTGCAGGGGAGTTGGACAAGATGACCTGTAAACGTCCCTTTCAACTCTAAGGATTCTGTGATTCTAGGATATCTAATTCCATATGGAGGTCCCTTCCAACCCAAGCCATTCTATGATTCTGTGATTCTATGAGTAACCAGAAGGGGTGGATCCAGGATCCTCCCCTTCCCAGACCTCATTTAAGGGTTGGCAGTGGAGGCAAGAGCATCTCATCTGGAGAGCCCTGTGTACCTGAAGGTAGGCAGCTTTTTTGCCTTTATTTCAGGCCAAACAAAGGTCTGATCTTAAACCTCAAGAGTCAGAAACTATTATAAATCCTTACAAATGGAGAAACATCTTTTCTAGTACTCAGGAGTTCAACAGCTGATAGCATGTCTGAATATGCTGTATGTTTGCTATGGATTAGAGTGAAAAAATAGATAATGCACAAGAGAATACACTGAAAAATGACAAACACCTTGTAGTCAATAGAAAGGAGAACACTGAATTTACTGGCAGCTGAATCATGGACTGCAGACTGTCATCTTTATAAAAGATGTATGGAAGACTGTTCCCACCACGGCGAATGTGAGTGACCACAGAATACTATCCTTAGAAACCCATGTGCTCATATGTATTTGTTTTGGACAGAACTTCAGAGCTGCTGGAATCGCACCAGTGCACTTGTTTAGTGCAGCACTGATCTCTCTGGTCCACACCTGAGGCAGACTTTGCAGGCAGCTACAATTCTTCAATGACAAAATCGCATTAGACTTAAAAGAAAAGTTCTCTCTCCATATGTGTGTGTGTAAACTCATGTGTACTGACTTACCTGGAGACATTGCTGTTGTCTCGGATTTTGACATGACAGAGGACATTAGGCAACTTCTGCAACACAAGGACTTTGATTTGATCCACAGAACTGCAGAGTTTAAGGTAACCCAGATACAATCCAGGAGGGAGGCGTTGCTGACTTCTTTTGTGATAGGAGAGTATGTCCTGTTTTGAGAGAAGCAGTCCTGCATTAAAAGCCTTATCAAAAAGCAACACATGTTTTTATAGCTGTCTTCTTGTGTCACCAGTATTCCCAATTCCCAGTATTTAAGCACATGCTAAAGCATGCAAATAATCTCTGGTAGTTTGGATTCCCTTGGACAACTTCCTACTTAAAGTCATATACAGGTTCACAAAGCTCTCCACATCATGCATGTACTGGCACTAAAAAACTGTGATTTCAACCTTCTACTGTTGTATTTAACTTCAATAGCATGCACCCTGCACTTGTCTGATGTCTTCAGTAGCAAGCTGGGGCAGAGAACTGTGTCAGCTGCAAAGCAACTCAGCAAAAAAGCAGCTGTTTTTTATCCAGGTAAATTCCCTGTTTCATTTCTGGTGTGTAGATACACAGAGAAGGGTGGCATGAGGAAAAAGCTATCAGCTGGGGAAGGTAGGACAGAGAGGCTGCACAAAGCAGCACTGGCACCAGAGAAATGCATGTAGATCTCTTGAAAACCTCTTTCTGTTTTCCCCTCCTATCAACAAGAAGATCTCTGTAAGTATGGGAGTTGGTGGCTTGCAAAGATTAATTAATGACTGTGCTTTCTGAGCAAATATCTTTATCAACAAATAGAGCTCAGAAAGAATGAAAACTGATGGCATATTTACTGAAGCCAGGAGAAGTTTTTAAGGCTACATACAGCTGTCCCCAGGAACTATTCTAAAAAGGATATCTGCTGCCATCCTGAGAAATGTGTGCCTCTGCAGTGGGTGAGGATTAAGACACCTGGCCTTACGCCTTTACTCTTGGAACCATCAAATTATCTTCCAGTGCTTTGCTTGGCTCTGACCAATGCAATTAGACCCTCATTTTCACAAGCACTTCATGAACAAAATACCCATTCGATGATTAAACAAGTAATACAAGAAAGGGTGGGCATTAGATAGGAATGTGTAAACCATTAGGGGAACATTTTTTCCACTAGGATCTTTGTGGAAATTTGATCATGGCCTGTATTTTGGGTTTCCTAATATAAAACTTTTGCCCAGATTGACATTTTTCTACACCTTTAACACATTTTAATACAGTAAATCTAACATAGATCAGGTAGGTTTGATTGTCTTTTGGAAATTTTTTAATGTTCCTAAAAGCTGGTAACGTATATTTTGATTCCCTGTCAGTTTCTGGTACCAGAAGCACAGTCTCTGCCCAAGAAAGCTCCTCAAATGTGAAAATGAACAATGACAGTCATTGTCTAGCTGAAGTGACAAAAGAAGGGACTGGGACAATATTTGTCAAGTAGTATTTCAGGTAACTTTGCCACTCATTTGAAGAGAGAGACTGGCTACAGACATTTTCTGAGCAATAAGTTGTTACCTACAGAAAACATGCATTCATCTTTTAACTACACAGATTCAACAGGAATTTACCGAGTCCTGAAGGGCTGGAAACCCCTGGCTGTCAATGATGTCAACTGAGCTGACAACTCCAGCACCTTCTGGGATCAATCCTTACCTTAGTATTGCTCTAAATATGAAGCCTAGGAGTGTGTTATGCAGAATTAAGTAAGGATTATGGTCAATAAAGAATTCTGTAGCAACTATACCAGGCACTAAGGAACTCTGAACCCCAAAGAACAACTTTATTAAGTAGAACAGTAGATATTATACTTAAATGCAATGTTCAGGGTTATGTGGAAAAATCTTATGGTGCATAGAAATTGTAAGTGTCTGTATGGGTGCTTAAGAACATCCTAGAGAGTTTTAAATGTTTATAGCCCTTGCTAAGGAATGCTATAGCATGGCTTCCCAAAACTGATAGAAACAGCACCATTCTCTGCTAGGACTTTGAAGTAATTTCTTTCTAATCTCACAGATATTTTACATATTAAGGATCTGATCCCAGCCCCACTGGAAGTAATATAAGTCTTTTCTTTCAATGGGAGCCTTGCCACTAGTTTTATTGGGCACTGGACTAAGGCCTAAAATTCTACAAGAATCTTCCAAAATCAGGGCTCTGGCACAGGCTTTACAAAAGCAAATAACATACAGTTAAGAGAGGCAAAGCACTACCTGGATTGTTATAAGCAAAATGTCTAATGCTGTTGGCTCCTCTGGCGTTGAAAGGGATTTCCTCTGGCTTTGTAGTTTGGATACCTGCATCCATTTGCCATTAAAAAATGAATAAAGACTCTCCACTTCTCTTATAGTAACAATCAATACATTGCCATGCCGATCCTTGATTGGCTCATAAAAAACTCTGCCGAGGTTGTGAGTTCCCAGCAAGTTCTAGAAAAGAAGAAAATTATAACATGGGAGTTATTTACTGCATATCAGGAAGGTGCATTTCTTGAAAGTTAACTTTACGCTCCTTGACGTCAGACCTATTGACTTCAGTAAAAACCAGTCACACAGCCTTTCTTACGTCCTTGCCCTGCAGTCACATCATGCAGTGGCAAAAGGAGAAGCTACTTTAGCATCTGGTCCAGCAGTGTTCAGTCTAGTGTTTACCAGAGAATGTCAGACTGTCACAAACCAATGCCTTTGTAAAAGGGCTGGCTGCAAATTCACTTCTACCCCCGGATCGCACCCAGTTATGTAAAGGTAAAGGATACTGCTTTCAAAAGCACTCAGTGTTGGTCTAGAGGTGATTCCTTTGGTATCAATGAAGTCCTTCTGCTTAGAACTTACCAAAGAGCTAGATGCATACCTAAATGAGAGATGCAGCACATATCAGTGATACTGAATTCATATTGGAGACTTCAAACGCTTTCTGCTAAGATCATTAACTATAACCTCAATTTATTGTTCTCCGTTTCAATATGATGCTGATTATTTTCAGCAACAAAAGCAAGAGGCCCTCATATCTGCACTGAATGTAAACAGCTCTGGAGTTGAACTGCAGGCTGTGTTTATGAAGGACCACAAAGGAATTTGAAAAGACACGGACCCTTTTTCTTTTACTTCAGATACCAAGAATGTGCTAGACAAACCAGCAGAAACAAACTACCAAAGCAAAGCTCTCCAGGAAAATATGTGAGGATTAAAGAAAAGTAATTTTAAAAGACTCCACATAAAATACATATTTTGGTCAAAATCCCTTTCCTCACACAGAAAGGCATCTGCTCATAGGTGCAAACATACTCAGTCCAGTCACCAGCCACTGAAGAGATTCCCAGATGTCTTAAAGAAAAATGCCTAACATTTAAAATATGCTCATTACTTCAGGACTTTTCAAGAGTTCTACAGTAAGCAGGGTACGGATGGGGGTTGTTTAAAATGACAATTCAAATTCACAATCTAGCACACCGTATGCTTAAGGAAGTGCTGTAACATAATGGCATTGTAAAGTGATAGACTGCCCTGACATTTTTTTTAATCTGTATGTAGCCAACAATATTTACTTATAAACTTTATTACTGAATCGTTTGTAAACTCTAGATAGGCTGACCTCTTGGTGACAAAACTCAGCAGTTTTTGCTTTAAGCATCCCTCTCCAAAGCATGCTGCTGGCGCCTGTCCCACATCCTTTTTCTTCACTGTTCTACCTGTTGAGGTGAGCCTCCATCACTGATTACACTGGGTGGTTTTGCTATGCATTTTGTTTGAATCTGTGTGTCCACAGATGGGGCAGATTATTACAGGGAGATGTTTAGCTACCTGTTGTGATGTTAAACTGAGTATAAGAATGTGCCTAAATGGAAACAGATAGATCATTATTGTCACTGATGGCTGCATGCTGTGAATGACATTCCAGCAGAGAGAATGGGGGCACCTACTAATGGGAATTATGGCTAACTCATGCATTAAAAAAAGTTTTGTGTCTGCTCTGCATGGCATCCCATCTCTTGAGATTTGTTTGCTTAGTTGTCTAGTGGCAACAGCAGGCAAAATTACAGTCTCCGTTGCCTCTGAATCCACTGCTCCAGTCCCTCAGCAGCTGTGTTATCACTGATCTTTTCCATTCTGTCCTAAATTCCTGTGGAGTCAGACTGTTAACTGCCTCACTAAAATGTATTCAACCGTATAAACTTTACTGAGATCCTTCTATTGGTGGATCCCATTAGGCCACACACTGTTAAAGGCTGGCAGACCTGTGACAATTCCTGTGCTCATCAGGGGACCAAACTAACAGAACAAACGATGAGGACAGTAAAGCTGCCAAAAATCCAACAGAGCAATGTACCTTCTGGGCATATGTGCCATATCTCTGTGCCTCAAGTTCTGTTCTTACCCTCTCTGGCAGCAATTAACACAACGGAATCTTGCTTATCTCAAACTGCAGTCTGTGCACACTAACAATGCTCTCTTAGGGAGGGAATGAAACTGAGCTAACCAAAGGAGTAGAGCTACCTAGGCTGAGCTAACCACACCAGGGGGACCCTTCAGCAGATACAGTTAAAACTGTCTCCAGTGAGAACTCAAAGGACTGGCAAGCAGCTGCTGCTTAGCACAGGTGGTCCTCCAATAAAGGTGCAGCAGGCTGGCATTCCATATATTTCGGGATACTTTGGGGAAATCAGTCAAGACAGGTGGTTGCCCAGGAAGGCTATTCTTCTGTACAGCTTGCTTTGCCAAAAGATGTAAAACCAACCCCACACAGATATTCTTAATAATGGCCACAAAGTATCTGGCTCTCACAGCTGCTATAAAAGCGAGCTTATTGCGTGGACTGGCAATAAGAGAGGGATGGCCGTATTGCTAACGCGTGAGCCAAGCACTATGAAGATCTCCATTAATGCTGTGACTGCACCACAGTCTTCTGGGCGTTTTTGGTGACATCATTCAAACAAAAGGTAGGAGAGTGAGGTCTGCATATACTTTTTCTGTAAGGATCATGTCCACACCTTTGTGAATTTCTTTCTTTTCCACAAAAGTAAATACTTAATGACAGCAGTTGCCGTCCTGCTAGAAATGTCACATTACTGCCAGCACGTTCCTCACAGGTTTTACAGTGTCCAAACATTCTCCTAGAGAAATGCTGTAATAAAGAACAATCACTATTGGAGGTTGGAAGGTCATGGAGCAAATAGCTGGAAACAGGCAATGCAACCAACCTGGAGCTGTGCTGCTGCAGAAAGCATCTTTTGCCTGGCTTGAAGTGTTGTTGATGAGGAGATGGATACAGACATATTCTGCCTCAGCCATCTGATATCATCCCACATACAAGACAACTGCAAAAATATGTCTATTCAGTCAGTTTTTGTTCTCAGCTTTTACGAAAGCAGAAATTAAAAGCATTATGGACTTCGAAAAATCAGTAGATGTTCATCTTGAGTTTCTGTGGGTGGCAATAGTTGCCTAGATAAGCATAAAACAGATATCAAATCACACAGAAATAATTCTGTAAACGCCGTGCACCTATTAAATCATTTTGTAGACTACTGAGTAAAACTGATTTACTGTTTCCTAGGGAATAAAAAATAGTGTGAAGATACCTTTAATGCTGGCATAACCATTACACCAACTTCAAAACATCTAATGGCTTTTTTTAGGCTCTTCCTCTAAATGTTCATAAAACCCTTCTGTTCCTAGTGAGCAGCCAACAGATGTAGGATCAGACATTTAGAAGAGTTAATTGTGCTGTGGTCAGCGACTCAACCAGAATTTCACCCATACAGATGCTGTTTGAAAATTACATTTTAACATGAGTAGAAGATGAAGCACTTCATCACTTAGCATTTTAATGCGCTCAGAATGATCAGCTAAGGTTTCTGCATGGCTAGCAATGCATTTTTAGAAGCAATATATGAAATTAGGTTCCCATTACCTTTGTGAACCACAGGAAATCCTGCATAATTGAACTACTGTGAGAGTCATCAATTTCCACAATTGGGATCTGATCTTCATTGGTTACCAACAGATTGTCTTTGTAAAAAAATATGACAGATAAGTAGAGTCCCCTAGAGAAAAAAAGAATCCGTGTCAAACAGCTTTCATGTCTATTAACATCTAAGCCCAATTTTTGCTGCTGAATCATAGATTTTAAGTTCTGAGGAGGCAGAACAAATTAACCGATCTTAACTTTTGTGTTTTATAGATCATGCAACTCCAGGTAGAGAATTCTGAAAAATATGTGGGAAGGCTCTCTCTTCAGATGATGTGAGACTACAAGAATTTAAGGAATTATGAATCTGTGCAAGTCACTGACATCAACTTCAGTAAGAGTTTTGCCAGAGTAAATAGTATACAATGGAGGGTTTATGCTCTCTAGAAATCAAAAATTCTACCAAAACTTTTTATCATTAATGGGCTTAGTTTTGCTCTCATTTACTTCAGAGCAAATCTGAAATAACTCAATTGAAATCAGTAGGGTTATTATGGATTTACATTAGTGTAATTGAGTGTAATTTGGCCAGCATATCTGCAAAACTGTTTATAGAGATCATTCCTTTCAATATTTACCCTTGCAATTAGTTGCATACATTAAGTAGTTGCCTTAGGGAATTTAAAGACTCTGGAGAACTCTTCTGAAAGAATCAAACTCTTATCAAAATACAAAGAAGAAAAAGCAAACTGAATGCTCCTGGCAATGAAAGAAGAAATAATCCAGCCTAAGAAACTTTCATTTGCTAAAATAAACTATCAAGGCAAAGGGTTGTTTGGGTCGTGCTGGGCTGCAAACCTAGCTAAAAACATTAGAAAGTTTTTGACGTGCTGCTTGATGCCAATGAGGTATTAGTATCTGCAGAACACGTCATCTGAGCTCTGCATTTGTCATTATGAAAGAAATAAATCCCAGTTTCCTTATTGAGCAGCAATGGAGGCTTCACTCAGCAATTCCTCAGTGACTGTACTGTTGTGTTTGCACACAATATTTTCCCATTACAACTCAAACCATTTTCCAAGTAGTAACAATCAAAGATTGCTAACGATTTCAGTAGGGACTGCAGCATTATTTTCCTATCAGATGCATCAGTCTCACACATATGTAACTGTATCAGGTTTATTCAGACATTGCTGTTTCACTGGAAGTAGAATTTGCGTACATCTATTTTTAAGGTGCTGTTCACTATTACATAAAAGCAATAACTTGGAATGTTTGGGAGATGAAATGAATGACAGACCGTTTCAGAGTCTTCACAAACTTGTTTGATGAATGAAAAAGGTGCTTCAGGCTTCTGGAGACGGACTGCTTGCGGCCAGTGTTCTGTAATTTGGAACTTTCTAAAATGGAAAATAGAAACAAAACCAAATGCAGCACTTCAATTTGAGATCATAAATCATAAAAAGCCTTTGTTTGCTGAATCATACTGATAATTCAGTGCCCACCTTATTCCTTCCAACAGACAACATTCAGAACCATGCTGATTTACACTTGCTTGTATTTTCTTTCTCTTAACAATACTCTTCACCAAATGATTTCTTTAAGTGCATCAAACTCAGACTTGGTGGAACTGCTGTTTTGCACCTCGAACAAGTATAGCTTGAAGCACGTGTTGAGGGAGGATATGAATTTTACACGTGGTCCATGAAATTACACCTCAGCCTTCCAGGATCTGACTGTTTTCTCGTTATTTAAATGAACTACGGATCCCCATCCAGACTCAATTACCAAACATTCTGAGGAACAACCCTCTCCAGTGGGGAAAAATGTGACTCATGAAAGATTTTGAAGGATTTTAAAAGTATTTGCTGCTAATCTGCCTGGCTAAGTGTTTTTGGAGCAACATATTTCCTACTTACCTCCAGTGCCAAATAGAAGGTGTCTCTCTGTGTCTCCCTAGCAAGTTCTAAGTTTGAACATTTAAAGAACATCTAAATTTGCTCCTGTCAAAACCCCATCTGTGGAAGCACTCAACATATTTTTAAATGATGAATAAATTTGCACCGTAATTTGCACATAGACAACTACAAAGAAAAAGACACATTGTTAGCATAATTACCACTTTGCTGAACAGCAAGTACAAAGAGAGCAAGGTTCTACTAGGGCTGAAATCCTGCAATTTAGAAGTATGAGACTTATTAGATCACCAAATACGTTGTCCTCCCAGTGCTAACTTACTCTGCATGGCATATTCTGCACTGCAGTGCTCAGTTCAGTTTAAATAGACTCGTCTCAGTTCACGGCTGCTCCTTTGATGCCACTGATCTTTGATTTCTTTTCCATTTGGAAAAACTCATTTGTTTTCCTGCCCACATCTCCTCACTTTTATTTTACTCTGTGCCTTTTTTTTCAGTTTATCATAGTAACGTAAACCAAATGTGACAGGAAAACTCTTGTCTTAGAAATATAAACTTCATCCTAATTATGAAATTCTTATTTTCTTCTATAATTGCAATGGAAGGAATAGAAGCAGAAATTGCTGAAAGTGAAGCAACATAATTCTATATAGAACACCCAAAGACTGCAGCATTACAATCAGAGGGCACATTACAAAACAAACCTACATTATTGGGCTACTCAGTGGTTTGGGTTTGGTCCACAATTTTTCAAAGACCAAAGAAAAAGACATAATGTAAAACTAGATGGAAACTAAATTCTCCAATGTTGCTGTCTGCTTTTGTTTGACGTTACAGTATGTCTAGAAGCCAAAAAACAGGGAACTGAGATTAGAGGACACTTTGGACCTACAGGAAATGGAACTTTAACAATCTGTTATTTAATTAACTAATAAATAACAGAGCAACCTTTTTACAACAGTGGCAGTAAGAACAAAAGTGGATCCTAAGGAACAATACAATAGAGCTGTGAGCTCTGTTAATAGCTCAGGAGCAAACGTATATTGGCCAAGATCAGAGAATTTCCAGCAGATGGATTTAGATCAGAGCATTCACACTTGGACTGAACTAGGCAATTAACTCTATTTACCACATTAGTTTTTCTCTTCTTAGGGAGGATATATATGTGTGTCTTTGCAGTTCACTTAAATTCAACAGATACATGAAAGCAGTGTAAGTTGGTTGTGAGAAATAAGAAAGTTGCATGCTCCCACTGCTAGCATGCATCTGGGGTTTCTGCTCTAGAGGAATGTCTGCTATGCCACGCCATTTCTCTGAGGAGGAAGATCATCTGGAATTCTTTGTCCTATCACTAGACAAGCGGGTGCCTCTCCTCAAGTGGGGCAGATGTGAAGTAAATGGAATTACCTCAGTGCAAAATTATCTGAGGAGAAATCTTAGCCCCACAGATCAGACGGTCTGTGGAACAACTAAATATCACTAATGGTAACACTGAATAATGAAGCAAATTACCAGAAGTGGAGCTAAATCCTATTGAAATCCTAGCAGAGGGCATAAAATGGGGTTTAGAGTTTTTACTAACAATGGATGAAAATACATCAAATAACTGGAAACTTCCAGAAGCAAATCATACTCGCTTTCAGTCACCATAATTTTAGCAGTGCGAACAACTGACTCTGAATAACATGCACAGAGGCAGAACACCATGCAGAAGTTAAAGGCATGCATAGCCAGCAGACACTTCAGTAGCTTAAGGCCATTACAGACTGCTATTACCTCAACTCAGGATGGGATGTCATCCAAAAGAAAAAACTCTCATGAGGAAGCTATAGCCCTGTCAGTCACGTTAGCAGGTGGTGTATTTTGGAGTACAGAGTCAGGCTCAACAGTTGAGATTGGGACTTCTTAAATTTCCTACCCGAACCTCCCAGTCCGTGGCCAAGTTCTCCAGCCTGTTTTGTGTATCCTCATTGCAGTAAAATCTAAACTTTTAAAATGTCCCATGGAATGAGAGATCGTTGTCTTTGTTAAAAGCAATGAAAATGTGATCCCTGGTTGTGAATCAAATTATGATTAGAACATTTTTATTTCAGTCAATCTCTAGTAAAATACATTTCAACCAAATTTCAGAAAGAAAATATCTAGTAAGCATTTTACTGAAGAGTTGGGTTTCTTTCTTAATGAAGCAACACACAATTGCTTAATCCACTCAGAACTGCTTAGGAAGAATGATCTTCACGAAAAAAAAATACTTAAAAAATACATTTGAAGTGTTGCCAGAACACACAATTGTAGTAATTGGGTTATGATAGTCTGTAGCACGGTATTATGAAGACAAATGGATGACTGTTGTTTGTAATCATCAGGATTTTCCAGAAGATTAAACATATGAAAGCAAAGCTTCCTAAGTAATTCCCTAAGAGATTTCAACATATCACAGAGCAGGTTCAAAAGCAACAGCTGATCTAATTCCAAAAGCTCTTAAACTCACTGTACGTTCCAATGTATTCTTCCTGGTATTTTTGTAAGCTTGTTTTTTTCAGGCCCTGAAATACAAAGCATGGGGCAAAATGCAGGCTTTGGTGCAAAGCCTGAATGAACAGACGTGAGCAAGAGATGTGTGGAATCTGGGCAATTTAACCCTCCCACATCACTAGCATTGGACCTTGTTCTTGTATCTCCTTTATATTCTGAAGCTTTTACTCATATCAGCCAAATAATCTCAGCCATTTTAGACTGACTGCCCTTTCCACTTTTTTCACCTCCTTTGCACTCTTCCTCTGCTTTCCTTCAGCCAGCCTCAGCAGCACACCTGGGCAGTCCTGCAGAGGGATCACTTCCAGGAAAGCCAAAGGGACAAGGCTTCAGGTTTGAATTTCACTTTAATTCACTGTGAATTAGTGGCTGCAAGCAGATTCAGTGGTGTTCTTCAAGCAGTTTCAAACTATTTACTGACACCTCTAAAACAAATGAGGAAAACAGAAGCTACAATGTGCACTTAGAATGAAAGGAATCTGGAAAAGAGAAACATGATAAAGATTGCTTCAGTGTCAGGCCAGGTCCTCTGCTTAGATATAAAAGCACGTCCACTCTGATTTCTATTCATGACAGTTGAAGCAGGCTTCTGTCTTACGTGCACCAAGTGGAAAAGTTTATTGGGGCTTTTCAGTCATTACTGATAGTTATCTCAGGTCCTTGATGAAACTTCTCAGATGTCACTGAGATTGACAAATAACAGTCAAATTGTCATCATAATTCTTAATTTTTCTGCAATTACTTTGTCTTGATTTTTATAATCAAATTCCTGAAATACGAGGGATTGGCAGTGTCATATATTTAATGTAAGTTCCAAAGAGTCTTCTCTTATGTTATAGACCTGATTTGTCCAAAATACAGTTCTGTGTAATGTTAACATTACAAGCAGTCCTGAGATTCTGATTTAACCAGATCAAGGGCGTTGCTCTTGCTGATTCCACAGTGTAGTACTGCCCTATGGAAGTTCCCACATCCTCTTTCCGACATACAAGAAAATGTTCTGAGCTAAACAGATTCCCTATATTGTTGTCATGTATAATTTGAGCATAAGGAGCTTGGAAATCAGTAACAGAGTTGTCTGTGCTTTGCTTTGAGACTGGAGTTAATTTCTGAAGCAGCGGAATTTTATGAGAACCAGGTACTGGTGTCAAATTCTTAAAAGAAGGGATTTTCTGCATGTTTGTAACTGCTTCTTCTCTGGGCTGGTATGTCAGTAAAACAATTGATTCTAAGCACATTCTCAGATGTTCCATCACTTACTCCCTGTTCACTAGGAAGGTGGCCTGAAAAACCTCAGAAATGTACCAACTTTGGAAGAGAAAAACTGTACCATGGATAATGACTTGAATCACGAAAAGCTATGTAAGAGATGGAATACATTGTTTGCATTTTTACTACCGTGGCCACCTGCAAATGATAATGTTTGCATGAATTTTAATTAGGGAAACAACATTTTCTTGCAATTTCTCCTTTTCCTTTCCAAGAAACATAGTGGAATAGCTCTAGTTGCTATGGTTACAATGGCTTGTGGCAGACTGTGGATCATCATGATTGTGATGTATTTGCACATAAAGAACAAAGGTTGCATCTTTCCATTTTATCCAGATGATTTGAGCCCTAAGTATTTCTGTGATTTTCAATCAGTTGATGCAGTTTGAAATAACAGTCATACTGAGTGATGAAAAATGAAAACTTCATGGTAGTTCGACTTTTCAGTTTAAAATAAGCTCCTTTGCAATGAAGCATTATTCCAGGTAGAAGTTTATTTTAAGAAAATAAATAGCACTTTTCAACAACCCGTATAGAGCACGAGTTTTTATATATTCTTTAAAAAGAATGCCAAGCTGTTGCCTTGGCTCTTGAGCTATTAAAGGCACAGTCTGTTTCTCATGAATGAAGAGCAAAGAGCTGGCTGAGATTCGAACTCTCTCCCAGTTTTGATCCATTCTATTTGAAAATGTAGCAATCTTATCTTCCCACTGCATTGTGCAACTATTTTTCATTATAGATTGGCATCACATCCAGTAGAGTACTTAGTGTCTTCCATTTGGAGGCAGCCAAGTCTCTTTTTTGATCCAAAACAGTTGTTAACTCTCTAAAGTATTTCTTTATATTAAAAAAATAAAAGAGAGACCCTTGAAACATTTTAGCAGAATCCTGTGTAAAACTTACTTGTAGGAAAAAGCACATCAGTAACTGCATAGGGCACAGAGGGAGAAAGGGTGTGTCTGTGCTTGTGTACATTCAAGCTTTCAGATGTTTCCATCCAACTAATTTCAAGGGTTAAGAGCAAGATAGTAAGCTAAAGTGATTCCAGATGGGCCAATATTAATATCTTTCTTTTCCTGATGAATGAGAAGGTATGACCTAGTTAGAAAACTGCTAAAATTACAGGCGCCACAGAGGCTTCAGCTGGTGACCTACCACATAGATATTTATCCTTACCTCTGCAATTATAATGCTGATGAGCTGCTCGAACCTGCTGAAGGAGACGTTCCAGGGCCTCACTATGTCCCCTGTGCCGAGGCTCTCTTCCACTGCAGTCTTTCCAGTCTATTGAACAAAGGAAATAAACAGAAATGAAACACAAAGTAGTAGGAGAAGGTTTTAAAATATTTTCTTGTCTCTGATGTTTCTTGGCTGCAGCGGAGGCTTACATCAGGGCACGCAGGAAAAATGGCAGTTGTTTCAAGGCTGCTGCTGTTGCTTGTACAATAAGCTTCCTTTGCTTTGTGCCAGCTGCATAATTAATCATAATGATGATTAACAAAGAGCTCACAATCAGCTCCCAGAAGCTCCTGTAGTGACTGACGAGACAATGGCTTTTTCTCTTTGGCACATAAATAGCTCCTGCTGCTGTAGCATCAGCGCTGCGCTCAGCCTGTTCCCTGCTGACCCTCTGTACCTCACTAAGATCACAGCCCTGCTCCTCCCGTGTTTTATTGAGGCACCATGAGGCTCAATGACCTTCCTACAGTTACGTAGGAAACTGATGGCAAAGCAGAGGGTGAATGTTTTCCAAGAAGCAGGGGTTTTGTCAGTGGCCTCAGAAACGCTGTGAGTAAAAGCACTTCTGAAAACCTCCCAGCACCGAGGCCTGAAGGAAGGCTGGCAATTCCTGCCCCAGCATCATCAGTCTGCTCAGCACTGCACTCATGAGGCAAGAAGCTGTGATTTCTGTCCCACATCCTCTGAACCTTATTTGCCATTAGCTAAAATCTCAGTCTTGATTTTAAAAAGCAGACAACCCCTTCACAAACAAGAGGATGAAACTGTCAGAGAGGAGCTCTTTGATTCCAGATTTGACCCTTCCTCACATCGTTATAAGAAAAAATTATTACACCACAGTTTCCTGAAAGAAAGTAATGATGGATCAGGATATTAAGAGATCTGCCTCCAAGGGAGACACGCTTCCATCTTGCAGGCACAGCAGCCAATACATATTCAGAGCCACCAGCAAACAGTTTGCTCACTCACTGAATATACAGTTCTACTTTCTAGTGCAAGTTCTGTTAAACATTCCTTCCAAAGGACTCACTATGCCAGGAATATAAATATATGTTTGCTACCATTTAGTATAGCAGCTAGAGTGGTGGTAAGCCCCATAAAGGGTGAGAAGACAATTGCTATCCTGATAGCCTGTGGGCAGTTGTAACAGCTGCAGGCTGGCTATCCTGCATGATGTATGCTTTTGCAGAGATCAAGAGCCAACTGCATTTATAACTCACGTTGGGAGGTCAGTTCTCAGATCTCCTTCGGCAGCCAAGAGGAACCAAATGGAATTCAGCAATACCAAAATGCTCTGGGTCATCAGACCAGGGAGGTTTAGAACAACCTCGTGGTTTCTCTGTCTAGGTGGTTCCCAAACTTTTAGACTCTCCAGTCTGCCGACTGCCTTCAAAACGACATGGAAATCAGACCAGCTTCTCACACTGTCCATGAATCACGTGTCTGTCAATAAGCCTAGAAATTTTACTATCCACTGTGGCTTTACAGAGCAGCTGCAGAATGCCAGCCACAGCTTTCCAGGTAGTTACTGTTTGTGAGAGGGAAACAGGACAGTGGCAAGCACTCACTCATGCTGCAAGCATGATTCTCTGAGGACATCACTGACTTTTGATGCTCTGGGATTGGACTGGATCCAGATTAGCCCTGGAGCTTTCATTTACCTAGCATATTCTAGCTGCCATCACAAACAACTTTGTACTTAATGTATTCACATTGAATTTTTACCTTAGGGCCATGTTCCTTAATATAACACCGCTGTAATTTCACATCGCTGCTGTCTTGCCAAGCACAAGTCTGCTAGCTTTCAAAACTAATGGTGTAGGTATCTGCATGGACAAGGTTCTGCCCTTGGTACCTGCATCAGTATCTTGTCTCTCAAGCTAAAATTCTGATATTGCTTAGCAAAAAGATTTTATACTTAGTGAGCATCTCACTTGTTGGAAAGCTTGAGCATGTGTCACTAAGGGCATTTCGATGGAAATGCCATATTTGTTGCTGGCTATCTATATGCAGTGAGCTGAGCCTGTCCAATGTTTCCATGTTCACCAGCAAGGAAAACATACGTACATAGCTACATCCACTGAAATCTGAAGCAAAACTTTCCTCGCAGCTCAAACCTTTGGAGCTGTCATGTACTGTCAGAAGGTTAATAACAATGGACAAGAAGTAGACAGGAAAGACAATGCAATGCACTCAAAGCAAATGTTGTATCACACACAGCTACAGCTTGAGATACAACCAGTTTGCCAGGAGTGCTCAATTCTTAGGAGATACTTAGCTGAATAACTGCCAGCTACTGCAGAATAGTCTTGTTTCTCAGCTTACATAAGTTCTGGATTTGTGGGGCCAAATCCTGTGTACTTTCCCCTGAGTACAGTCAAGGTAATTGCATGTCACTAAATTATTCAATGCAACTCCACAGTAGTGAGTTATCCACAGAGCCAAGAGTAGAATTTTCTGCCATTACTGTAGCACATTTTTGTTTGCAAACAGAATATTTCTTTAGCCTAGACGCTGGCTTAATTAATTAAACAAGAGCAAAACTGTAGCAAAATAGGATACTGACACTGCAACAGCTTTGATTATTCCACACTCTCTATTACCACCATTGCTTAATTTTCTCACATTAGCATTCAAGGTTATTAAATTGTTACATTAGCCTAATAAAAACAAGTGCTAATGCAATAAAATGAAAAATCCCACTTTACTGCACTAATCAATACAAGAGAAGCTGTAATATACTGAGCCAGTTCAGCAACAAATACTAAGTCTGGAAAAGTGACTAACAATAGAATGTGGCTACAGTAGATTAATAACCACAAGTGCAAATTTGCACTGAGCCTGAGAAAACCTGTAAGTCTGAAACAGAAGAAAGGCTTTTGGACATGTCTGCAACATTTTAGTGCTTGCGGGCCAGATCCCACCAACACCTGTGCCACAATACAGTATTCTACATACTGCATGCATCCCATAACTCCACCAACTTCAGAACTGAAAACTACGAGAATGGTTCAGAGAATGGAATCTAGGACACTACAGTCACAATAGAAAATTGCGTATGATAGGTGTAAGTATTTTGGTTTTAGCAGATCAGTTTTGATCCATTCATGTGCTGAAAAACGAAGCTCCATATGCAGAACTCTATTAAAGGAAATGAAGATCAAAGGATAAGAAAAATAAACACACAAATGTGATATTATATATCTTTTTTTGTTGGGGAGGAGAAGTTAAGTTTTATTTATTTCCCTTCTAAGTGACACAGTAATTAAATCATGAACTCCAGCATACTTGTCTTCTTCTGTTCTTTGAAGAGAGAGAAATTCTGAAAAAGCTACATGAATAATCAAACTGGGAGTGCAAACAAGCTCGACCTACTTGAAGGAGAAGCATATGCAGGAGTAGATCTTCGTGGAGGTCCCCATCCTCTCATATTGTATGCTGAAACATGAATGTAATACCTCTGGCCCTACAAAAGGAAACAACTGGAATCAAAACTTGCACTTCACTTGAAATCACAGCTGTAATAACTGGAGAGTAGCCCTTTCAAAACTGCTTTCTTTAAAATCTCTTACGTAGCTTTCAGGGATGTCAAATGACGCCCGATGAACTACTGAAAAACTGCACAATGATTACAGGGCAGGTGATTTGGAGGAGGTCAACAGAAGACACTGATGTGATGTGATTGACAAATTGTGATCTCCCCGATTAAACAATGCTTTCAGAATCAGACTTTAAGAATAAAGTCCCATTTCTGCTGTAGTCTTGCTATGAGCACAGTAACTGAAGAAGCTCTGCTTGGCCATCACTGACATCAGTCAGACCTTCAGCAAGCATTTTGATGTGTAAATCTAGGCCAATGAAAAGTGCTTCTGAAAGTTTCGCTTTTTGTTTACAGATGGTACATACCTTAGAGATTATGGACAAACAACCCCTAATCACTGCTCCTCATGTGTGCCTAAGAAATGGACTGCGCAAGCTTGCTTGATTTTAACTTAAGATCAGTTACTTTGTTTTGTTGCTGGAAAATGAAGAACAGAGGAAATGCATACCGTGGCTCTTTGTGAATCCAAATTTGCTTGCACAAACAGTGCAGAACTGCCAGTAGGAAGAAGGTGCTCAGACACATGCTCAAAACTATTCTGCTTAAGAATACATGTGAATGTTTATCAATTTTCTCAATTGCTGACCCAGTTCTTAGCAGTGTAAAACATGTATACGAAAATAAAACAAAAATGAAAATGACTGCCATTAAATACGTGTTCCTGAAATAAGTAGAAGAGAAAGAGCAGTTATTTTAGTTATCTGTCATCAGAGTCAGGACTAGAACTTTCACGAGCCTTTGATCTGCACTAAGATTACCCTGCGATCCAGAAAACAGCAGCTTTCATTCCAGTCTTTTTGGCTCCATCCTAAGCATGCCAACTTATAAAACAGTTCATGCTGTCTGTCTGCTCCTTTGTGAATTTCTGATCACGGATACCAGACATATTATGCTTAATGACTGGAACTTGTTAGAAGAAAGGCACTCTGCAGTTGTTACCAACAGCCAAGGATGCAAATTATCAGTGTCTTTTTATCCGTGGGGCAGCAGGGGGCATCAAGATCTAAATGAATCATTTGGCACTTACTGTTCTGAGACCTGTGATGGTGCATCTCAAAGACTGAAGATTATCCAGGATTATTTCACCAACCAAAGGAGAAAAGTCTTCTGAACAACTCCATTCCACTAGGAAACAAACAGCAGAAGCGAACTGAATCAGATAACAGTCCCACAAAAGGAATAAAAGAACTTCACAGGTTAACTTTTCTCCTAGCAGTTTACCATTCCACGTGGATACTAAAAGTCATGTTTAGCAATAATGTTTAGGAAAACTTTACACAGTAATTAAATTATAACTCTGTGTATGAGAGAGAAAAGCAAAATATTGCTCAAAAGCTTTTCAGGAAAGAATGCTTAAAAGTACCCTGCAATACAAATTACATTCAATCAACATTTGCTCTTAGTTAAACAATTTCCTTTTAAAGAAAGGGAAGCAGTTGGAAAAGAGTAGGTAAAAGATTTGGACCTGCTAATTCCATTAGGCAGTTTATATATCCAAACCAACAAAAGCACTGTTTTGCAATTGTGTCTGCATATGTAGGCATAGGAAGGGAGTCTTTTGGGCTCCACAGGACCACAAAACTCCAATCACTTAGCTCTGTATAGAAACATCCTCCTTGGACCAGATCCAGCACTCACAAGAGTCTCTTTATTGATTTCAGTGGGCTCTGGCTCCCTTGTCCGAGCCTGGTTCTGCTGTGGTCATTGAAATCACAGAGCTCCACAAGGACCTATTAAATTTTATCCATTTTTGCAGTGAATTAAGTGGTGCTGGGCTGGCACATCCCCCCCAGCCTGTCCTACAGCCTCAATCACAAAGAGTACCTTCACCAAAGCACCAAAGCATTCCCATCAGTTTGTACCAACTGCTCATGTTCCTACTTAAGGGGTATGAACTCAGCAATCTTGCATTCTTCCTTATTCATTGCAAAAATTAACGCAAGAAATGAAAATGGATGCTGACCATGAAAAACTACCACGTGGTTTTAGAAAAAGGGGAACTGATGGCTGAAGATAAGAAAACCACCTTCTGAATTATATGTTAGTAATGACAGAGAGAGTGAGAGTTCAGGTTCATTTCAGAGTCGTACCTGTAGTATTTCCAGACTCAAACTTTCAGGAAAACTTACCAAAAGCAGTGAAATTCATTACACATAATAACAAGGGGAAAGCCCACCAATTTTCTGGATTCACAACTAAGCAGAAAATCAACCAATTCAAAATTGGTAGATTCAAAAACTAGCTTATAGATACTTCATTTGCACATTTATCAGAGTTGGATTCCACAGTTGAAAGATGATCAGAAAGTACAGGTACTTCAATTTCAGCCTGTGGATCTTTTATCTTCCCACTGCGTCATACCGGCATTTTCACATTAAAAGAAGCGATATTTTTGCTCAGCACATACGTTTAACTGCCAACAGGTTTTTCCTAGATTAGCCAAGTATCAATAGCACAACCAACTTTTCCTTTCTCTTCCAAGCCAGTCCTTTCCTTCGACTGCCATTTGTGAATGCAGAGCATGTTCAGCAACGTTTTTGTATTTGCTGAAATGAAAAGGATATTGATTTTATCTACTGTACCTGAACTTTACAGTGTATATTTTCCTTACTCTCCTTGGGTTTTAAATATCTAATTACTGCCAACCTTAATGGAAGCTATCTCTGTACATTAGTATGAAAATGTAGAGACTGTTACTGTACCATGTTGTAGGTTTTTGTTGACAATGTAATTATAGCAGTGCTTATAAGTGCCATTAAACTTGATGGCCTGTCAGAGTTTCCATTATAAACCATGATTTTTCAGGGTTTATAACTCTGCTCTATTAAATCATTGAGGACATTGTGTACATGCTGCAGACTAAGACATTATTTTCCAGAAGGATAAATGAGAGAAACCCCTCCTGAAGTGCTGAACATGCTACTAACAGACGTGCAGTCATTTCAGATGCCATTCTTCTCTTGGAAGGGTTGTGTAGATCAAACGGTGTCACTCCAGACAGATGCTGCCAGCATATCCTGTCTTCACTGAAATCCTAAGCATGACAGTGTGTTTCTCAGCATGAGGGGCAGGGCTGAGGTTGTGCTTTAGCACAAAACAACAGCCAAGGGTGAAGTAAGCAGCTTTAAATTCCCTTGGAGTTTCTCAAATTTTTAGCTGTTCTATGGACTGAAGAGTATCCAGACATCAACTAGTTCCTTGGACACATCTGAAGCACTGTCATTTTTGACAGCACATCGTTCTCTGACTCATGATGCCATGATAAGGGCTGCTGTTCCTTGCATTTTCTGGTTATGCAGAATGCAGAGCTACTCACCCTTGCGATGGACCAGGATCTAAAAATTGTGCAACTTTGTGCAAGAGCAACCCAGCATGGAAACACTGCTAAAGCCTTGCCTACTTTCCAAGAGAGAAAGTGCTGGAAGAGGCTGTTCTGGAAGCAAACAAAAAATAACAGCTCTCTGTGTAACTGAAGTGCTTGGTACTTTAAGAAAGAACAAAAGGCTGGCTGCCCTCAGCGCTTTAAAAGTTCAATATAAAAATACGCAAGTATGAAAACCTGAAGATGAAGAGGGTCCTTTATAAGAGCCCAGGAACAAGAGCTGGTCTTGTAGGCTGTACCAACCGTGCTGCAAAGGACCTGAAAGCTGTTGGGTGAATTAAGGATGGCGCATGTTCCAGTCCTGTTCTGAACACCCCACAGGCCTGCTTTGTCGTGAACGCTGAATGTCTTCGCTGTTGCGGCTTTCCATCTGACACTTCACGTTATGTCAGAGCAGGGTTTTTTGTGTGTTTAATATATTGGTGACTATGTGTTTTAATGAAGGTGCCCTGTATTCCAGAGCTCGCGAATGCACGATGTGTTGCTGCGGTCGCCAAGATAAGTAGTAATTTTTAAATAAACAGCAGTATAAACAGTTACATAAAACTCATGTAAATTGCTGGCACATAATTTTAGACTGGCTTAAGTTATGTAACCTACTTGTGGCCAAGTTGTGTGCGCTTTTTTTTCCTTTTTAATACTCAATTCATACACTTTAAAATAAAGAAGCAAGTTTGTTTTCACCTGTTTCTTTTCTATTCAGACTGAGTATGCCTTAAACAGCTCACCAGAAAGACTGACAGACAGATAAGGGAAAAAGTGAAGGTGCAAAACACCTCCCAGCTCTTTTGCGGAGTCATTCAGGAAAACACCTTCTCCCTGCTAAAGTAAATAGCTCAAGCCACTGTAGAATTTGTCACTTCTCTTGGCATTTATTTTGCTTGCACTTAAATTATTCACTGAATTGCTGAGTAGATTAATTAGACCCAGGGACATGACTTAGGCTGTTAAGTTGATAGCATCTACTGAATAGTGTGCTGAGCTGCAATTCTGGGTTTTACCCTTGCATTTGCTACTAACTTGTTGTGATTTTGGGGAAAGCATTGTGTCACTATGACTTTTAACCCAGACTCTTAACACAGCAAGGATTCTTTCTCCTTCCCTTCCTCCCTGTGTCCAGGGCCCAGGCTGAAGGACACTGTGATCCTAGCTTGTGTTCCCAAGGGCCTCCAAACAAATAATTGCATTGTTTAACAGCTTCCTTTGAAATGTAAAACTGAAGGAGAGCCCTAATGCCAGAAATCCCTTCATGCCATCTTCTGCTGCCTGCTATCTTTATGAAATAATTGTAACAATTGACACTTGCAGTGTCTTAGCAACTTGAGCTAACGAGGCAGTCAGGAGGAACCAGCTTATTGGTGCACACAGCTCAGATAGACACCAATATTCTTGATTTTGTTCACATTTTGTCTGTTTAGTCAGTACCTCCTAGCTGCATTGAGCCAGCCTTTCCAGGTTTAATTTCAAAAAGAACCCAATTTTTGCAGACTTGGCTTCAGGTTTTCTTTATGTCTCTTGTGTTTTGAAATTCTGCAAAGAATGAGAGCAGAAAGACAAGTCATACCAACTGTATAAGGGTGCTTCATTAGGAAAAAAAAAAGTTTGGCTCTGAGGAGTCACTTTGTGTTCCCATGGATCTGGTTTTCTGCATGAAGGATGTAAGCCATCCATTTATGCACATTCAATTACACCGTCTGAAATAAGAAGAATTCTGTTTGGTTAGAATGTAGGCAGGGACAACATTGGTTAGAAAGCTACAATGCAAACTGGCACTGTGATAACAACCAAGATTTGTGCCTCAGCCTTCCTATGACAACACAGCCCACTCTGGCTGTGGAAAGGAAAGTGAGAAAAAATACACACTAGAGCTGTGAAAAGGGAGAATAAATGGGGTTCTTATGCAAAGGCTTCATGTCCTAGGAAGGTATAGCAGGCTTGGCTCTGATCTTACGAATTTCCACTCCCAGTGGATTCGTTCCACTCATGTAATCTGTGTAACCAAAGCCAGTGGGGAGGTTTATGAAAGTAAGGACAACTCATTTGTGTGAAGCATGCATGGCTTAGGCTCAGCTTCTTCCCAAACCATAATACATTAAAATCTAATTAATAATGACTGGTTGGGCAAATGCAAACAAAAAAGTAATCTATCAAAATGTACAAGACATACAGGAACACTGCATAGCACTGTTAACAAAGAAGGTAAATACACAAACCCTAATTCAATTAATCTGCTTAATGGGATTGCACTGCTTTTCTTCTGGTCCTCCTGTAACATATTTTTAAAGGGGGACATTGTTGAATAGATGTTAATTACTCATATTTATGGCTTTTGTTTCTTTATAAACAAATCTGTACATTAATTTAAAGATCATTCACCTCTCCCTAGCATTAAAGCCAGGTGTCACTGGCAAAACAGTCTTGTTTTTACTTAATTTAATTTATTGCCAATTAATCTAATCACCAATCCAGATTGAGAAGGGAGAAAACATAAGCAATTAAACACTTAACGCATACCCTCCTCCTTTCCTAGTGTCAGCTTCCTTCATTTCTACCAGGGGGTTACTCTCAGCATTGAGGCTCTCTGTTGGTTTTGGAGCTGTCTGAGCCCCAGGCCTCCTCCACCTGTGGGCCTTGGCTAAGTAACCTGCCCAAATACGCCCAGCACAGTGCTCAGGCAGGAGCTAAGTGAGCGCTCGTGTGTGAACTGATTGGGTGCTGAGATGTGAGATAATAGAGTGCTCAA